GATTCAAACTGCTGCTTTTGTTAAAGATTGGCATCGAGATTCCCATCTTTTATGGCAGCAACAGCAGGAACTCGATTCCCAGATGGCCTTAGATATTCAAAACTTACAACAAACAGTGCAATGGCTGGGAGATCAAGTTTCCGTGTTAACTACACGATCCATTCTGAAGTGCGATTGGAACTCTTCCCACATTTGTGTTACCCCTGTTCCATATAATGTCTCTGATGATTGGTCGAAAGTTAAAAGAACATTATTGGGACATGAGAACTTGACAGAAGAAATATTAAAAACAGAAAGAGACATTTCTGTTACGTTTAGTAAAGATTTGCCCGACTTGACGAATCAGGATATTTTACAGGGTCTTGCTGATGGATTGTCAAAGCTAAATCCTCTCGGTCAAGCGAAAAGTTTAGTTGCCACCACTCTGAGTAATTCTACTGTATTAATTGTTGTTCTTATTTTTGTCTTTATAGTCGTCCGCCGATGGCTCCAAAACAGAACAGTAAAAAAAAATCCGAGAAAGAAATTTTATCTGTGTTACGACACGTCAGAGTACATCAAGAAAACAAATAAGGGGGAGATGTGGGAAATTATCAGCCTGGGAATGATCTGCACGCGGACGCTCCCGCGCTTATTGCCAGATCTCCGGGATTCGGAGGGCATGTCTTGCAAACAAACATGCCGTTCCCTCCTGCAAACAGGAGGGAACACCGAGTCTCTGAGAACTTGCTGATCTGTGAGCCTTAAAGATAAGTTCGGATACTTACTATAGTCTTGATGTGCTTTGAGGAAGAAAACAACTTATAATTAGCTGGCATAATGCCCAGGCGGAGACCTTAAAAATAAACCACTGCAAGTCCTCAGGGCTGCAGTCTTGTTTGTCTTCTTGTGTGTCTGTCTCTTTTGTTCATTCCGTCGTTCCGAAACGCAACAAGGCACCAACGCAGCACAAAGCTAGACCAGGACATGTAGGCTCTCAGAGCTTGGAGAAGGTGACGCTTTTCAGTTCCTTCTTCTCCATCGCGGCCTGGACAGACTTCACGATGTCATCGGTTTGCAGCATGTTCATGTTCCAGTTGCGCTGCAGAAAGAGGGCCATGGCAACAGAAGATGCGGGGAAGATTAGGGTTGGACCAATGAAAATCGGCGGGTAGCTAGTAGCCCACCAATCAGAGGATACAGCATGCAGAGGGCTGCTGAGCTCTGATTGGCTGCTCTGGAATGGGAGACGAACTGTGATTGGCCGGAAGGAAACGCTCACCACGAAGTTGAGGCTGTCAGCCACCAGACGGTCACGGGCATAGAGCAGGTTGACTTTAGTGCCCTGCACCGCCACGGGGCTCTTGCTGGAAATCTCCGCTGCTAGGGAGAAGGCTGCGTCAAGCAAGGCCTCCTTGTCTGGGAACACCCGACTGTGGATGAAAGGGAATCAAGAATCGGGTGGCCGGGAGGAGCTTTCTCACCTCTTTTGCCCTCCCACCTGCAGAAGAGGAAGCGGCCAATCACAGGAGAAGGTGAAGACCCGCAGTAAAACGGGCCAATCAGAGCAGGGCACTAGACTCCCAAATAAAGGAATGTCCACTCAGAGAAAGCCTTGAGTGGAGCCACAGCGGGGCTGAGACCCCACCCGGGCGGGCTGCCCCGCGCACCGCCGGCCTTGGCCCTACCTGACCAGCCCACTGCTCAGGGCCTCGTCAGCCATCAGCTTCCTGGCGGTGAAGGCCAGCTCGTTGACCAGGCTGCAAGAGGGGAGGGAGTGTCAGGGGACGGCAGTCTTCCTGGGTCTGGGGGTGCCCTGTGGTCCTCTTCCCGCCTCCCCCTCTCACATCTGGCTCCCAATGACCCGGGGCAGACGCTGCAGTGTTCCCACGTCAGATGCCACACCCATGTCCACCTCAGGAGGCAACAGTCTGCTTTTCGTTTACCACTGAGGTTGACCCCCAGCCCAGGCTGGTCACCCCATGCCCCAACTCAGAGGCTCCCCCGAACACCCCATCCCATTCCCATCAACACACTTTGACGGCGCCGGGTCCCTCGGTCTGGAATAGAGCCCACCCTCCAACTCCCTCTGCCCTCTCAGTTCTTCAGGGTCAGCCAAGCCTATCTCCCGAGGGAAGTCCTCCTAACACTGCCCGTCTGACCTCGTCCTGCGTCCCTGGGCTCCGTGCTGCCTCCTGCCCTCCCCAGCACTGACGCCATCACCAGCCCCAGCATCCAGCAGGTGCCAGACTCATCCCACGCCCTACCTCTTTCCCTCCTGACCTCAGCTGGACGGCCTACCCTCATTACCTCCCATAAGCAAGTCTTACCTTTTTAGGTTCAGTTTTGACTAAGTCTTCCCAGAAGCCCTCAGGCTCCTCCAGACCCTCCTGGCCCGCTCACTGCCCAGTTTAAGGGGGAAGTAAGGGCGGGGGGAGGCACGTGGGGAGCAGCAGCTCAGGGGAGGATGGCTCACCTTCACCTGGAAGAACGCGTCCTGGGCACAGTAACGGATGTCACAGGCGGTGATGAGGTCCACGCCTGGGATGGAGAGGCCGGGACACTAAACAACCACAAGGTCAACCCCTCTATCTGGGGACATGGGCTTGCACCTGGGGATCAGGTCTAAGCAGCCACACATCAGAGGCTGTATGGCCCTGGCTGAGGCGGAAGGACCGCGGCCAAGAGGGGCCCAGCCAGACTGAACGCTCTGGGTGGGGCTGCAGACTCACCTGCGCCAATGCAGCCCCCATGGATGGCTGCGATGACGGGCTTGGGGCACTGGAAGAAAAGGGAGCAGCGGGGTCAGGGCCGGCTAGGAGAGGTGGGCAGTGGGGTCGCCCTCCCACCCCCAGAGTCACCTTCTCGATGACGCTGAAGGTCTCCTGGTACCTGGTGATGATGTTTCGCAAGTACCAGCTTTTGCGGGCCACGTCGTCTCCCGGGGGCTGCAGGAGCCCTGAAGCCATGTCGGTGAGGTCGATACCTGGTGGAGAGGTGCGAGGGGGTTCACCCAGCCACCCAGGCCCCGCCCATTGCCCCAACCAGCGGTCAGAACCTGGGCTCAGCAGGTTAGGAACCCGAAACCACTACAGAGGAGGAAACTAGTCACATAGGACCTACCAAGGGTCTGGGTGTGGGGTAAAATAAAACATAAATAAAAGCTAACGTTGATGGAGTCACTGCCCATTCATTCCTCACAACAACCCGAGGAGGTAGGTCCGATCATCATCTCCATTTCACAGAGGGGTGAACCGGGGCACCTTGGCTTGTGAGTTGTGGAACTGGATACTGAACCCAGGGCCAAGCAGTTGGCTCCAGAGGCCATGAGTTCAGCTACCCGCCACCCGCACAGAAGTCCAGGTGTGTGGCCTGAGCAATGGGTCACACGGGAGAGATGCTTCCTGAAGTGGGGAACACCAGGACGGAGCAATTTCTGTGACTCCAACTTCAACGTAAGGCCCACATCTGACCTTTCCTCCACCACTCATGCTCCACGACCTCCACTCCGGTCTGGGTCTACCTCATCTCCCTTGGTCTCCCTGGCCCCACCCTTGCCCCCCCAGTCTGTTCCCCACCCAAAGCTAGAGGGACCCTGTGAACGCTTCAGTCCTATCAGGTCCTCCCTGTCTCCCCTCCGCTCCCACCTGGTTGTTAGTTACGCTGAGTCAGCTCTGACGCACGGCAAGCCCAGGCACAACAGAAAGAAACGCTGCCCGGTCCTGCGCTGTGTTCACAATCGTTGGTATGTCCCAGTCCGCGCTGCGGCCACTGTGTATTCTGAGGGCCTTCTCATCTAGGGGGCTTATCATCCAGCACCATCGCAGACAATATTCTGTTGAGATCCACAGGGTTTTCACTGGCTAATTTTCAGAAGCAGTTCTCCAGGCCTTTTATCCCAGTCTTATTCTGGAAGCTCTGCTGAAACCTGTCCTCCACAGGTGAAATATCAGGGGCGTAATCACTCTCACCCCTTTGCCCGGCCCCTTAACAGTGCTGCCCGTCAGACCCTGAAAAATCCTCTATACCTATTGCCACACCACCGACTCAGAGGCTTCACTGCCTCCACTTGCTGAAACCAGCGAGACCCCAGGAGCACCAGCCACAGTAGGGCTGATTTCGTGTGAAGTTAAATTCACGTAGGCAGGACGCCCCCTGCGTGACCTGGGCCGGGCAACTTCATTTTCCGAGCCTGGGGTTTCTTCTCCAGAAAATGAAAAAACTCTCCCAAGAGCTGACGGGGCGGCGAGGATTCAAGGAGACGGAGCCCTGGAGGCGCTTCCTACAGTGTCTGGCATGCAGCGGCATCGCGACAGTTGACTATTATTACAGACTCCTCCAGAGCCATCTGGGTCAGCCCACTGGCGTCGGTTGGCCCTGTGCCACATCTGGGACGCTTGTGTGAGTCAACAGGTGCTGCTGACTCCCAGAACAAGCCCAGGCTGGCACCCTGCAACACCTCTCCCACCGGTTTTTACGGTTTACCCACCCTACCTGGACCTGTAAGAGCTCAGCTGCTAACTGAAAGGTTGGCAGTTCAAATCCACCCAGAGGTGACTCACAAGAAAGGCCTGGCAATCTATTTCCAAAAGATCACAGTGACTGAAAATCCTGGGGAGCACAGTTCTACTCTGACACGTGCAGAGTTGCCATGAGTCGAAAGCAACTCAATGGCAATTGGTTTTTCTTACCTGGACCTGCAGACTGTGGCATTTGCAACCCCATCCCCAAACCCTGGAACAAGTTGCCCCAGTCATTGCAGAGAAGTTCCTGGTCCTGTTCTGGTGACTTTCTACCACCCCTGTGACCCTCCTAATATTCCCAAAATCATTCATAATCAACATCAAGGTATTCATAATCATAAATAATAGCAGCTCCATTAATAACACACATACTATGTTCCAGGCCCAACATTTGGCACGTATTAACTCATTTAACCCTCACAGCAACCCAAGCAGGCAGGTGCTAACAATTAGCTCAGAGAGGTGACGGGACAGTGTGCAGGTGGCAGAGGTGGGGAGGAGAGTGGCCACCTGAGTCCACAGCCCTTGGTTAACCAGCATGCCAGACACCCGGGCGACAGCCTCTCAGTGGGTAACAGCAAGGGCTCCGCAGCCCAGAAGCCTGAGTTTGAATCCCAGCTCTGCCACTTACCCGCCCTGTGACGTTTTGTCCTCTCTCTGGGCCTCAGTGGCCTCATCTATAAAATGGGGATGATAACAGAAGCAACTCATAAGATTGTGGTGAGAAGCAATTCATTGATATGTGTAATGTTCAGAATAGGGCACGACGCTCTGTAAGTGCTAAACACACACGGGGTATTTTTTTTAGTAGTAGTTCCTTTCTGTCATTGGATTACTATGTGACCCTGAGTTTCTTCTTTCTGGCCTTCAGGGTCTTGCTGATGAAAATGGATCGAGACAGCCACAGCCAGCCGGGAGCTGGAAGGTGAGGGCTCCAGGCCAGGCCCAGCCACAGACGACTTCTCCACCTCTCACTTCTCAGACCAGAGCTGGGTCCCGTGCAGATATCAGTAAATGTGGGCAGGGGCAGGGTGCGAGAAGCACTCTCTAGATGTAGACACTTGTTATTTCTGGTGATGGGAAAGGCAGCACCAAATGTGGGTGAAGTGTACACAGCCTGACCAAGGTAAATGAAGGCACTAAGAAGGGTACAAGAGAAAAGGACATTTTTGGTAAAGGATAAAGGCATATGGAATTTTACACCACCACCACCCCCACCCAAAAAAAGAGAAAATGCATGTGGTTACATATGTATACATGTGTGGGTATATACAAGGATATACATACGTATACACGTACAGACGTATCTATATGTATATACACAGATACGCGTGTTCATGCATATATATAATAAACCACATAGTACGCCCAGTTGTGGTTACCTCTTCAACATAACCAAACACTTTGCGAGCTTGGTTTTCTGGGTTTGAAGGCTTAGGACCACAGTGTCCTGGCACAACACGGTCAACTGGCATAGTTTATGCTCTACATCCTAGTTTGGTGAGTAGTATCTGGGGTCTTAAAAGCTTGCAAACAGCCATCCAAGATATAATATTGATATCTGCTCATCTGGAGCAAAAGAGAAAGGGAACCAAAGACTCAGAGAAGAAACTAGTCTACAGAACTAATAGTCTACATGAATCATGGCCCTCATCTACCCTGAGACCAGAAGAACCTGATGGTGCCCAGCTACCACTACCGACTGTTCTGGGCAGGGCCACAAAACATGGATCCTGAGAGCACAGGAGAAAAATGTGGAACAGAACCTCAAATTCTTAAAAAGTCCAGACTTACTGGACTGGTTGAGACTGGAGGACTCCCAGAGACTATCGCCCTGAGATACTCTTGAAGCATTGAACCAAAACTAGCCCCTGAGGTCACCTTTTATCTAAATAACAGATTGGCTTCTAAAATGAAGAACATAACCCACGAGTACTGAGCTCCTTTAAAAAATCATCTATATGAGACCAAATGGTCAACAATCACTCTAATGTAAAGATGAACGGGTAAGGGGGCAGGGACACTAGATTACTGGAAACAGAACAACCAGAACAGAATTAATGAGGATGTTGACATAGTGTGAAAAATGTAACCAGTGTCACTGAATAATTTGTGCAGGAATTGTTAAATAGGAAGCTAATCTGCTGTGTAAACTCTCAACAAAAACACAATATTATTTGAAAAGAAAGAAAGGAGTGAATGTGACATTTCACTTCTGGTAGGGTCCTGAAGGCCCAACCCTCCTGCAGGTAACAACCATGAACTCTGGCTGGCAAGATACAGGAAAGCCACTACTGAAGGCACTGGGCCGATTCTGGGGGGAGTCAGCACTTAGAAGAAGGGATAGCACCAAGTGACTTACCTGCTTCTAAAGCTTTTAGCCTGAGGGCAGGATAAAGTAGTGCCTGAAGAACCAAAGACTAGAGTTAGGGTGTACAGCTGCTCACAAATGAGGGGGAAATCCCAAAAAGAAGATAGGCGGAGAGGGGAGCCCCAAATTCTGTGTATAAACTCTGCCCGTATCTCTGACTGACTCATGAACCGTGTAGGCAGGCCAGTAAAAGATAGAAAAACTGAACTGAGATTTGAACTGTTGCCAAAGATACAGACTTTACGCTTATTTCCAACCAAACCACTAAAAAGGAAATGCAACACTCTTTGGAGTTATATAACACAATCCAGAGTCTCCACAACATCATATCCCCAATATCCAGGATACAATCCAAAATTAGTCAAATTACAAAGAAACAAGAAAATGAGACCCATTTTTTTTTTTTTAATATTTTATTGTACTTCAGGTGAAGGCTTACAGAACAGATAGTTTCTCATGTAACAG